CAACTAGAGAACAATATCGTTTACAATGTCTCGGCCTGTAACGGCCGCAATAATTATAGCCCTTTAGCTGGTTTATGAATAAACAACATCTTTAGGCATGGTATACAAAGAGAGAGCAGAAGAGAACATACACACACACCACACACACACACACACACACCACACACACTCACACACACACATGCACACACAACACACACACACACACACACACACTCACACACACACACACACACATACACACACCACACACACACACCACCACACACAACATATACACACACACCTACAAAAACTCACACACACACACATGCACGCAAGCGCGAACACACGCACACCTACAAAACGCACACACGCGCACGCGCGAACACACACACAAACTGCCGCGCGAACCACACACACACACACACACACACACAACACACACACACCACACACAGCCACACACACACAACCACACACAAACGCGCGCACACACACACCACACACACACACGCACACACGCACACGACGCGCTCACAAACACACACACACACACACACACACCACACACACACACATACACACCACACACACACGTTCATACATACACACGCCACGCACGCACGCACGCGCCACCACTTGCCCTCCCCCCCCACCCACACACATCCACATACAGGGGGATTCCCCCTCCCCCGCGGCGCCGCCAGAGCGCAGAGCAGAGCATGAGAGATAGACAGAGCGAGAGAGCAGCGAGAACGAGAAAAGAGAGAGAGCGTGAGAGAGAGAGAGAGAAAGAGAGAGAGATAGACAGAAGGGTGGGGCGGGGGAGAGAGAGAGAGAGAGAGAGAGAGCAGAGAGAGAGAGAGCTTAGCATATGCCATTGCCATCTTACAAGCGAATATTAGTAACACTGAGCCAGTTTTAGTTATTAAGACGTGGCCTTGGCATCAGGACCTAATTAAGTACTTTATCCAGAAAAATTCTAGCATTTATTATATAAGATACTTTAGATTATTCAGTACGGCGTTATTGCACCTATCTTTTAAGCCTCGACACTAGCGCGCCAGCGCAGATAGTCTGTAATAGATAATTTTATTCGACGATTGTGCGGGAAATAAGGCATCACAACGCGCCGTGCCAGGGAATATTATGGAGGACTAAAACAGTTGTTATTTTTTATTGAATTAACTGCATGTATTTGGTACGTATTATGTACATAATATTTATCGTTATATCGTGACACTTTCCTCCGACTTGTGGGCTTTGAGCTTACGACACTGACGATATTATGTCGTTGCTAGCGTGTGGCTCGTGCGCTGCGCGTTCGTACCTGCGTGTTGCGTGTGCCATGCGCGTGTGTGGTGTGTGGACGCGTTCGCACCTGCGTGTGCGTGCTTCTTACTGTTGCTATTGGCGACAGGAACGCCAGCACCTGAAACTCATCTAATTTATATTATAATTTTTATTCTCTTATATTTTTTTTTTGTATTTAATTTTTTTTGTTCGTGTCTACACCCGACCATTGCTCTGTAGTCGCGACTCGCCGATAGTCACCTGATTTAGATTGATTTGGATTTCAGAATGATTTTTAGATTGATTTATATTAGATGATATATGAAATAAGATGACATGATTAATTATAGATTGATTTTGATTTTAGATTTTGACCGCCCCCCCCCCCCCCCGCCCGCCCCCCCCCCCCCCCCCCCCCCATTAGCCACCTGATTTCAAGTATGAATCCATTACGTTGTTTTAGGCACGCGTCTGTATTGAATTGCGGTGCAGAAATACCCGTACCGTGCGTGCGTGAGAAACACCGTGCGTGGGGGGTGCTGTGCATGAGAAAACCGTGCGTTGCTCATCCCTCGTATAGCGTGCGCCCGTGGCGTGTTAGCTCCGCGACGCCTATTAATTATGCTATCATTCGGTTTGTAATCGCCCCTTCGCTAAAGAACGTATGATTGAATGGAATTGTAAACTATAGCAGATGGATAGCCGACCATTTCGCCGAATATTTTCGGCATAAAGTCTATGACATGGCCATGTACGTCTGTGGCTGTCTCGATACCATCCAGGTAGGTCGATTCGTCGTCATTCGGCGATCCGGGGGAGGGGGTTATGCTAAATTCGATCATCATAGCGTTTAAAATTTATCGTTTGTAGCCTTAGTTTAATTAATTATTTGCGTTTGAAAGCGGACGTTGGTCACCAACGATGTCTGCCAATCATTCAGCACGGAGTATGGTCACCTATGGTGGCGCCTGTAGCTCCGTTGATGCTTGCTGGCGACGGTAGTATAATTTGTATAATCAAAATGTACTGAATATGGCTATGCATGAAAAGTTTATATAAACATCTTGTACCTGTGCGTGTGTATGTCGTACGTGCACATTATTATTGCTTCGTGATTAAATATTTATGTGTGGCTATAGTGTTGGCCAATGCCAGTTTACTTTTTGTTTCACATAATAAACAAAAATATCAAGAACTTCAAATTTGAAGCGTTTTAATTAAAAGAAACGTACAATTGGCATTAACAAACTTACATGCATGTTATCGGAGTTACATGATACCAAAGCGCTTTTTCGATACCTTTTGATGTTGCTGCATTTCTGATTGATACAATTGCTTTATTTAAAAGAAATTCCACGCATTGTCTGCTCTTTTAATTTTATTCATCATTCTTTTTCCTTTCCTCCTTCTCTTCCAAGTTCACCATCTTGTTGTTGTTGGTTCTCTTCCGCTAGCAATTATGTGTGCTGCGTACCGTTGCGTGTCTCTGTGTTTGTTAATAATTTACATATAGACATGAAAATGACAAATAATTATTACAATTTGCGTTTTTATTTGGATTAGTGTTCAAAACACATGATTATTTACCAAATCTATTAAATTTTAGCGATTTGTATAAACAGTCACACGTTGGATAGTCAGTAATACTCATCAAAAACACAAACATGTCACCATTCAGGTTGCATACCGTTAAGAGGTTTTCACGGGGCTTTCACAGGCAATTCTAGTTCATCTTCCAATCTAGAAAGAAGCTGATAACAGTTGAGTTGCATTTAATGGCATTCACACTGCCTCCAGTTTACATGTGCTACTGTGTGCTCGCGTTTTCACAGAGCCAAGCCCTGCCTATTACATGTGAGTCTGACAGTTCGAGATATTACTTTCTGCCTTATATCTGCCTACGCGACATCTCTCTAGAATATTATACATTGTCGTGTGTGATTTTACATATAGAGTGTCTTCAGACGTAAGCTTCACTCACTTCAAAGTTACATTTTAATGCATTTTTTTCTTTCGTGTGAGTTCTCAATGTGTGTCTTTCACATCAACCTGATTGTGTGAAGGTTAGCATCACACAGCAACGCGCTTAATTGGCTTTCTCTCCCGTGTGCGTTTTCATGTTTAGTCTTCACAGCACCTGAATGCCCGAGAAGGCAGCCCATCACTTTCAGACTCACACTTATACGGTTTCTCTTACGAATCGCTTTGTATCAAGGCCGGCGTATTCTATTTATGTTCATTATTCAATGTTTTATTCTGTAAATCGAATCATTATCATATAACATCACGCGCCATTTACGACTGTGAGTCTAGAATCATATTAGCGCCTCATTCACGAAAATAAATAAACGCGAATTATTATAAATATCATCAGGCTTACCCAATGAAGTCTCTGAACGTCCCGAATATGTGTTCTCGTATCAAATTGATTGTTACAAAACGTCAGTGGTGTTGTTATATACCTATAGGTGTCTGGATATTGACCGGTTTCATTCAACAGAGTATACTGTGTTGATGAAACCGGTCAAATTCCAGACACCCGGGGGTAACCGCCCGTCAGCTCTCCAGAACCTTGCCAATGGCGGCCAATGCGAGCAAGTGGCCTAGGCAAATGAGACATTTCATAACGCCGCGTTTGCATGCGAAATAGGAGACTGAAACAGTTTGTAATTTTTTAATTGAAGTTAACTGCATCTATTTGGTATGTATGTACTGTACATAATTTATCGTATTATCGTGACATTTCCTCCGACGTTAGTTTTTTTTCTGCATTTAGCTTACGCACTTGACCAATATTATGTCGTTGCCTAGCGTGTCTTGTGCGCCGCGTTCGTACCTGAACCTGTGGTGTGTGTGTGCTGTGTGTGTGTGTGTGTGTGTGTGGTGTGGTGTGTTGTGTGTGTGTGTGTGTGATGCATCGTCTGTGTGTGCTGCGCGTTCGTTACCTGCGTTTGGCCTGTGTTCTACATGTTAGCTATGGCGACAGGAAACGCGGGCACCTTGGAAACTCCATTTTTAATATTCCGTGTCTACACCCGACCATTGCCTCTGTAGTCGCCCAACTCGCCGCAGAGCTTCACCTGATTTATATTGATTTGCGAATTTTAGCATGGATTTAGATTGATTATATATTAGATTGATATGATGAATAATTTAGCATGACATGATTGATTTTTAGATTAAATAATTTTAGAAAATTTTGACGATTATTCACTGATTGAAGTATGAATCCATAACGTTGATAGACATTTACTGCCTATGAAATGCCGGTAAAAAACCGTGTGTGCGTGCGTGCGTGCATGAAGAAACCCGTGCGTTTGCTCATCCCTCGTGTAGCGTGCGCCGCTGGCGTGTTTGCTTCGCGACATCATTAAATTTGGTATATCAGGATTACGTTGTAAATCGCTTGTAAACAACGTATGATGATAAATTCGTAAATATAGCCAGATGGCTGCGGTCTATTTAGTGGCATATTCGCCCATGAAGTCTTGACACGATCATGTACATCTGTGGCTGCTCTCGATACCTCCAGGTATTTCGTCGTTTCATCGGCGATCCGGGCGGGAGGGAGTTATGTAATTCGATTATGACGTCGCTACTGCTCAAATTCTATCGGCTGTAGCCTTAGTTTAGGATAATTAATTATATTTTGCCGTTGGGAAGCGACGTTGCGTACCAACAATGCCCTCTGCTAATCATTCTAGCACGCAGCCATGGCTTACCTATGTGGCCCGCCCACTGCTAGGCCGTGCATGCGTGTGGCGACGGCTTTAATAGAATTTTAAAATCAAATATCTATCTGAATATGTATGATTGAAAGAAAAAAACTGCTATAACATCTGTACCTGTGCGTGTGTATGCTCGTACGTACAACATTATGATTGCTTCGATTATGCGTTTATGGTGTGGCTGTGTTGTAATGGCAGTTTACTTTGTATTTCACATAATAAACAAGAAATCAAGTGTAAATAATTGTGAATTGCTGAATTGTAAATATAGCAGTCGCGATAGCCGACTATTTCGTGGAAAATTCGCATGAGGTGTTTACACGATCATGCTACATCTGTGGGCTGTCTCAATACCTCCAGGTAGGTCGTCGTCATCGGCGATCCGGAGTGAGGGGGTTACGTAATGCGATCATGAACGTCTCTCGCTGTCAAAATCTACTCGGTGTAGCTTAGTTAATTAATTATTTCGTTGGGGAAAGCCGACAATTGGTCACAACGATGTTGCTAATCATTCCAGCAAGCCGAATATTGCGTCACTTAGGCGGCGTCATTGTAGTCAGTTATGCTGTGCCGGGCGACAGCGATTAAGCCGCGCTTGTTATCGTAATTTGTCAGTAAAAAGCGACCAATCTGGGTCCGTGCGTTCACGATTCAGCATGTATAGAAGTCGATTACTTTATGTCAAGTTATATCCCAGATAAATATTATTCTATATATATTAAATATATGTAAATATATGTAAATTATATATATATATATATATATATATATATATATATAAATATGTGTATATATATATATTCAACATATCTTCCTCTGGTAGCGCTCTCACTCGCACTATAGCGTCATATTCGGATATACCCCTAACTCAATAATACCTTGTCTAGCGTTTATATCGAAATGCTACTGCATATGTGATGAAAAGTGTATAACATTCTGCTACAGTGCGTGTGCTATGTCGCTACGTCCACATTATATTGTTCGAATTATGAATTTTATGTGTGCGCTAGTATTGGCAATGCCCCAGTTTACTTGTATATTTTTTATTTATTTATTAATAGTTCACATAATTAAACAAAAATCATAGACTTCAAATTTGAAAGCGTTTTTTGATTAAAAAGAGGGAGTACATGCATACCAAGTACTTTTTCGATACCTTTGATGCTGGTGTACTTTCTGATGATACAATTGCTTTATAAAAAAGAAATCCCACGTATTGTATGGAATTTGATTTTCTCATCATCCGTTTTCCTTTTCTCCTCTTCTTCCAATTCACCATCCTCTTGTTGTTGGTTCTCTTCCGTAGTGCTTGGCGTGCGTGTGCTGCGTTTGCCGTGCGTGCGCTGCGCGTAAGTGTTTTATACATACACATATAAAAGTTTTCCTTTATCGGGAGAGATATGAAAATTACAAGTAGTAATACGTACTAGGCGTTTTATTAGATCAGTCTTCAAACATATAATTCTTCACAAATGGTATCAAATTTACACGATTGTATAACGGTTACACGTCAGGTAAAGTAATACTAACACAAAATGTTAAAAAATACAAACATGTCACCATCAGGTTGTATAACATATAAGAGGTTTCACGGCTTTCACAAGCCAATTCCTAGTCAGCTTCCAATCTGCGAAAAAAGTGTAACGTTGCATTCGCTGGGATTCCACATTGCTCCAGTTCACATGTCTACTGTGTTTCACTTGCGTTTTCACAGAGCCAAGCCTGCTCTTTACATTGTTGAGGTCTGACAGCTTCAAAGCATATTTATTTTTCTTTTACATTACTGCCACGACATTCTCTAGAATTATTATACATTGTCGTGTGTGGTTATTAGAGTGTCTTCATAGGTAAGCTTCACTTTAAAGTTTTCATGTTAAAATAAATGTTTAAATAATTTTCCCCTTCGTCTTTTTTCTACTTTGGTCTCTCCCACGTGCGTTCTCATGTGTCTCTTCACATAACTCAGACGCGAGAAGGCAGCCATCACACAAATCGCCACTTATATTGGTTTCTCTCCCGTGTGAATTCTCACGTGTGTCTTCACAGAACATGAATGAGAGAAGGTAGCATCACACAGATCGCACTTATATGGTTTCTCTCCCGTGTGAGTCTCAATGTGTTGGTCTTCACATGACTCAGACAGAGAGGCAGGCTCACACAAATGCCACTTATTTATGGTTTCTCTCCCGCTGTGAGTTCTCATGTGCTGTCTTCACATGAACACGAATGCGAGAGGTAGCATCACACAGATCGCCCACCTATATGGTTTCTCTTCCGTGTGAGTTCTTATGTGTGTCTTCACACCTACTTCAGACGGAGAAGGCAGCCATCACACAGATCGCACTTATACGGTTTCTCTCCCCGATCGTGAGTTCTCATGTGTTGTCTTCACACTACTCAGACAGGCAACAATGCGGGCCATCACACAAATCGCATTTATATTGGTTTCTCTCCGTGTGAATTCTCATGGTGTGTCTTCACAGAACACGAATGCGAGAAGGTAGCATCACACTAGATCGCACTTATATGCGTTTCTCTCTGTGTGGCAGTTCTCATGTGTTGTCTTCACATGACTCAGACAGAGAATGCGGCCTTCACACAGATCGCAACTTATACGCCGGTTCTCTTCCCCGATATGAGTTCTTCGTGTGTTCTTCATATGATCAGACCTCGAGAAGGCCGCAGCATCAAACAGATCGCACTTATACGGTTTCTCTCCCGTGTGAGTTCTCACGTGTGTCTTCACATCACCCGATCGCGAGAAGGCAGCATCACACAGATCGCACTTATACGGTTTCTCTCCCGTGTGAGTTCTCACGTGTGTCTTCACATCACCCGATCGCGAGAAGGCAGCATCACACAGCTCACACTTATACGGTTTCTCTCCCGTGTGAGTTCTCATGTGTGTCTTCACATGAACCGACTGCGAGAAGGCAGCATCACACAGATCGCACTTATACGGTTTCTCTCCCGTGTGAGTTCTCATGTGTGTCTTCACTTCACCCGACTGCGAGAAGGCAGCATCACACAGATCGCACTTATACGGTTTCTCTCCCGTGTGAGTTCTTATGTGTGTCTTCACATGACTCAATTGTGAGAAGGCAGCATCACATAAATCGCACTTATACGGTTTTTCTCCCGTGTGAGTTCTCAAGTGTTTCTTCACAGCACTGAGACAGGAGAAAGCAACATTACACAGATCGCACTTATATGGTTTTTTCCCGGAATGAATTGTCACGTATTCCATCGTGCTTTAACTTCCACTGGTCTCACGCGTGAGATTTCTTCCCTGTCTGGCGCTCAAGCTGCGATCATGTATTTTGCTTCGAAGACGGCCTCGTCACACGCGTAGAATCAAGGTCTATATAGGCTCTCCTACAAATTAGTAAAGAGAAAAGAGAATACAAACATCTTTACATCGAAGGCCGCGCATTTTATTTATGTTCATTATTTAACCGTTTATTCTGTAAATCGATTCGTTATCATATAAACATCACGCGCTATTTTACGACTGTGACGTCAAGAACATATCACATCACGAAAATAATCCAAGGGAATTAAGATAAATATCATCAGCTTACCCAATGAAGTCACTGAACGTTCGAATCGTGTTCTCGAAGCAGACTGATGTTGTAAACTTCGGTGGTGTAGTTATATACCTGCTGTTATAATAAAACCGGTCAAATATCCTGACACTCGGGGTAACCGGTCTGATCTCCAGACACCTGGGTAACCGGTTTGCTCTCCTGACACCAGGACACACGCTGGTCGCTTCCCCTAATTAATTACAACAGCTGCTGCACCCCACGCCCAGAATCATTGCCGTAAAACTCATCTCTTTCAGGCCTGGTGCTTAAGTGGCATCCACACTGTGCAGGGATGCTGACTGTTATTTCTACCACAGCAGGACTAAACAGCTTTGTATACAAACCCTAACGAGAAAACACTGTGTACATAATGTTTTTACGCGCACCAAGCAATACCAGATCTCTGACATCCAGCTTCTTGAACCGTGAGCTCCTCGCAACACCCTGCGACACTTTATATCGCATACCAATTATAATAAAATGACAACAACGCTTGACGACACCTACAAACCATATTTTACAACTGCGTAATTAATTAAGGTCCGGGTGTACGAGAGTATTTTTAAGACATCTTGTGGTTGATTAAGAGATGGCTATTATGATGGGGATATGGCGTAGCTCAGTTTTCATAGCTCTCTCGGCTGTTGATACGCCGCCTGATCTTTCGTGTGAACTTAAAAGCTGTTCATATCCCAAAGCGTTACATTTTCATTGTAGAATAAGCTCCTTTAAGCCCAACGGTTGCACCGTGTTGTTATATGCTGTAGATTTTGTGTAGAGTAAGTTAGGATGTAGATTCCGTTTCTAAAGAAGAAGCTCTATTTGGTCAGTATTTTACAGTTAGCATCACATCACACCTTACACAGTTGAATATAGGGTGTAACGTCAACTAAGATAATGTGCAAATACGTATTTAGAGTCCGTCTATACTGTCGAATATGACATCGCGCTTTATCGACCGCTACAGTGCACCCGTTTGTATCCGAAAACAGACCACTATTAAATTCCCTATAGCACCATATACTTAAGAATTGAACTTCAACAACTGAAAATTATTATTTCGACTGTTTTCTGCCGAGTGACCTGTTAACACCATGACCCTACTTAGTTTACACTCATGCAATAAACAGGGTCATCGTACGATTTCTGTTTTTATTTTGCATTTGCAGTTCATAAATATATAATCCAACAGAACTGGATGCTATATTTACCAAATCTTTTCGTGCAGACACATCATGCCATTTCTATGTTGCGGTATGCATTCTTGCTATTTGCTCAAACATTGCTAGTCTAACGGAGCATGTCGGCTTGCCACCAAGTACATCCTGCCCGTCACAAGTCCCTACAAATGCGCATGCACGCGCGCATGCACGCGCGCACGTACACGGGCAGACACAGCCACGCGCATTTACGCACGTACGCGAGCACGTACACAGGAAGACACAGCCACGCGCACGCACGCACGCGAGCACGTACACAGGCAGACACAGCCACGCGCACGCACGCACGCACGCGAGCACGTACACAAGCCGACACAGCCACGCGCACCCACGCACGCACGCGAGCACGTACACATGCAGAAACAGCCACGCACACCAACGCACGCACGAGAACACGTACACAGACAGACACAGCCACGCGCACCCACACACGCACGCGAGAACGAACACAGGCAGACACAGCCACGCGCACGCACGCGAGCACGTACACAGGCAGACACAGCCACGCGCACGCACGCACGCACGCGCACAAACAATTACACGAACATGCA